CACTAAATGCTTGATTTGTTTGTGTTATTTGTGGAGGTATGAGTGATTATGTGTGTGTGGCGGCTAAAGGTGCATACGTGATTTTGTTTAGGTCTCTAGTTGTAGGGACTACTCAGTTGCCACATAATGAAAATTATGCAAATAATAACTTCTAGAGTAAAATTTGAAATCAATTCTTTACTTTGATTTGAAAATTCTCGGTTTATTAATAAATTCTTTATTTATAGAGACTTTTTAGAAATATTCTCGTTTTACAGAGAACAATTTTATATATCAAAAAAAAATCGATTATGTATTTATCGAAAATTTCTTTTTAAATAGCGAATTTATCAAAAAACTTTCTATCAATCGATAGTTAATCGAAAATTCTTAATAGATCAAGAATTTATCGAAAATATTTTTATAAATATAGATTTTATCGAATATTTAGCTATAAATCAAGAAGTTATCGAAAATGTTTCTATAAATCTAGAATTTATCAAAATATTTCTCTATAAATCAAGAATTTATTTAACAGGATATTTTTTTATTCGAGAAAATGTTCGTCAGTTTTTTGTTTTAAATACTATTTTTCTTAAATTCTTGTTTTATAAAAAAAATTCAATAAATCATACGAAATTTCATTCAATTATAGAATTTTTGTTTAAATTTAAACAAAATTTTTAAAAAATTTTAGATTTTTAAAATAATGTTTAAAAAATCTGCAAAATTTTCGATAAATCCTTTATAATTTTTATAAAGATTTTTGATATACTCGTGAATTTTCAATAAATTTCTGAAAATTTTTGGAAAAAATTTAAAAATACACAATTTTCGATTAATCTATGTAAAATTAGATTAATACAAAACAAATTTTTGAGAAATTCTCGTTTTATTATAAATTTAATACAGAATTATTGTTAAGTTCTTGATTTATAGAGAATTTTTAATAAATGTATGCAAAATTTTTAAAAAATTCTCGATTTGTTGATTTTTGAAAATTTGATTTATAGAGAACTTTTCGATAAATTCGCGTTTTATAGAATTAATTTTAAAAATTTTTGATTTATAGAAAAAATGTTAATAAATGTTTAGATAAATTCTTGATTTATAGATTAATGTTCGATAAATGAGCAATTAATAGATTTTTTTAATTTCCTGATTTATATAGAAATTTTCGATAAATTCTTAATTTATAGTAAAATTTTTCGATTTAATTCTCAATTTATAAAGAAATTTATACAAAAATAAAACATAATTTTCGTTAAATTTATACAATTTATATATAAATATATAAATTTATATTTATGCAGAATTTTTGATACATTCGTTTATTATTTTTCAATTTATAGAGAATTTGGAAAAAAAATCGAGATTTTTTAAAGAATTTTTTATTAAGTCAAGTAAATTTTTGGATAAATTTTCGATATCTAGAAACATTTTTGATGAATTCTCGTTTTTTTAAAAAAAATTTCGATAAATTGTCGATTTATAAGGAAATTTTCTTTAAATTCTCAATTTATGGAAACATTTTGGAGAAGTTTTTTGTTTGTTTGTTTACATAAACAAATTTTGATAAAATTAGGCAGAAATTTCGATAAATTCTTAATTTATAACAATTTTTAAACCGAAAATTTGGGGAAAATATCATTATTACGTTTTTTGTTAACCTACAAATAAAACCGTCAATTGTATCACAAAATAAATGAATGACAAATCTGGCAACAATGATTGATTAAAGTAGAAATATGTAGTTGATAACACACACATGTATATGTAAATACACCTATGCACAAACAATGTATGCAACAACAGGGAAAAAAGAAGCAGCAGCAACAAAATAAATACCAAAAATGAAACTAAATAAAATTATGTATGAAAAAAAAGCAAAGTGTTTAAGGAGGGCGTTTTGTTTTTTTTTTTTTTTATTTATTTTTTTGTTCTGATATTACGAAGAAAAGTCTGAAATAAACAATTAAGGTAAAAATAAAATAAAAACAGAACAAAATAAAATAAAATATAAAACCCAGTATTAAATAAACAAGTTGCCTGCATTGCCAGACACGTGATTATGTCGGCAATAATATTTAAAGACAAAAACAACAATAACAACTTCAGCTTGTTATTAAAAACAACAATAAGTTGGGAGAGAGAAATATAAAATGTAAATTATGCAAATTATGACAGCAAATTAACGGTATTTCGTTTAGTTTTAAAACGTTTAAAGAATATTTTATCAAGTTGTTTTTGTTTCTTTTGTAATTATGTGTATTTATTCTTTTTTGATTAATTAACTAAAAATGTTGCAAGCTTAGTAGAAAAAAATAAAACTATTAATACAAATTATGTTTAAAGTTCAATACCATTTTAGTTTTATACAGTTTGTCTGAGTTCTTTAAATGGTTCTATTACCAAATTAGGGTTGCCATTAAAAAAAAATTTAACAAGATAAACTGGTTGGCAGAAGAAAGTTTTCTTGAATTTATCGCATACTTCATTATAAATCGATAATTTATCGAAAAATTTTCAAGAATATATAAAAAATGTTAATATTAATAGAGAATTTATTAAAAATTCTCCTATAAATCGAGAATATATAAAAATATTTCTCTATAAAATAAGAATTTATTTAAAATTTTTCTACAAATCGAGAATTTATCACGATTTTTCAAACATCTTTCTATAAATCAAGAACTTATTTAAAATCTATCAAAATATTTCTCTATAATCGAGAATTTATACAAAATTCTTCTTTAAATTGAGAATTTATCGAATATTTTTCTATAAATCGATAATTTATTAAAAATTCTTTTATAAATCGAGAATATATAAAAATATAAATATAAATTTTTCTATAAATCGATAATTTATTTACAATTTTTTTATAAATCGAGAATTTATTGAATTTTCTTCTATAAATCAAAAATTTATCAATATATTTCTCTATTAAACGAGAATTTATTGAAAATTCTTCTTTAAATCGAGAATTAATAGAGAGAATTGATGTAAAATTTTTCTTCGAGAATTTATCACGATTTTTTTAAATTTTTCTAAAAATATATTTCTCTATTAAACGAGAATTTATTGAAAATTCTTCTTTAAATCGAGAATTAATCGAAAACCTTTTTATACATCGAGAAATTATCTAGATATTTTGTTAATCTATTAATAAAAAATTTGTATAAATAGAGGATTGATCTAAAATTTTTCTTCGAGAATTTATCACGATTTTTTTAAATTTTTCTAAAAAACGAGAATTTATTGAATATTTATCTATAGATCGAGAATTTATCAAAATATTTCTCTATAAATCAAGATTTCATTAAAAGTACTGCTAAAATTTATCACGATTTTTTAAAACTTTTTATAAAAATTGAAAATTTATTTTGAATTTTACTATAAATCGAGAATTTATGTTACATTTTACTATAAATCGAGAATTTATTAAAAATTCTTCTATAAATAGAGAATTTATCAGAATATTTCTCTATAATTCGAATATTTCTTGAAAATTTTTCTATATTTTTTATAAATCAAGAATTTGTTTGAATTTTTTCCTAATAATCAAGAATATATTGAACATATTTCTACAAATCGTGAATTTTTCGAAATTTTTCTCTTTAATATAAGAATTTATTAAATAATTTATCTATTAATCGAGAATTTATCGTACATTTTTCTATAAATTGGGAATTTATTGAAAATTTCTAAATAAATCGATAATTTATCAAATATGTTTCAATAAATCAGAAATTTATTAAAAATTTTTCTATAAAACAAGAATTTATCGGGAATATTTTTATAAATCGAGAATTTGTCTCAAAAATTGCCATAAATCGCGAATTTATCTTAAATTTTGTCTCTAAATCGAGAAATTATTGGAAATTTTTCTAAAAACAAAAAAATTTTTGGAAAATTTTGGAAAAGGTTATGTAAAAATAGAGAATACAATTGGGTATTTATGTAAAATTTTTCTATAATTCAGAAATATTCAAACATTTTTCAATAAATCAAGAATTGTTCGCGAATGTTCAATAAATTTTTTTAAACTTTAGAATAAAACAAGAATTTATAGAATATTATATTAAAAATTATAAAAAGTTTTATAAAGACGAGAATTTATCGAAAATTATTTATAAATTTATCAAAATCGTAAAATATGTTTCGTAAATTCGAAAATTCTGTAAAAATATATTAAAAATTCTCTATATATATCGCGAGTTTATTGTAAATTTAAAAATTATTGTAAATCAAGATATTAGGAAAAATATTGAGTTAAAATTGAAAGTTTTGACTAACTTTTATAAAAATTCAAACAAATAAACCAATACTTTAATAAAAACTCCTACAGAAATCAACCCTTGTTTTTGAAATTTTTTTTCCAAATAATTTTTTGCAAAAATAACATAAAAAAATCAAACACGTGCTTAGTAAAACGATATCCTGCCGTTTTGTAATGAGTTTCCTAAACAACAAAACAAATTATAAAATGTATATGACTGTAATAAATTTTCAAAACAATAGAAAATGACAACAATATTTTTCTAAATGAAACTCCACTAAATTAAGGTGTCACAGTAGTTGTCAAAAAATATAAAGTAAAAGGTTAATAAAAGAAAAGTTTAAAAAAGGGAAAAACACACTTAACAGGCATAGAAGAAGAGATTCGTTTTGCTTTCAAGGTTATTAACTATAATTTTGTAAAAATATAAGAACAAAATTATTAGTAATATTGTCAACGTGCTGTTAACAACAATGCTGTGTGTTTATTACACACTTTGCACACGTTGCGACTTACAAAAAAACAACAGGGTTACAAATTTGCCTGACCCTGTGGGTGGTAAAAGTTATGAAATATGTAACAGCACCACCACTTGAGATTCGTAGTCTTTTCACCACTAAAACCACATAATGTGAGTTATATTATCTAGTTATTAAAATTTTCCAATTTCCTTAGTTTTCATATTTGAATAGAAAATTTCTTAAAAAAATACTTAAATAAGAAAAAACACAAGACTTAC